TCAGGCTGCACTACCCCCTGTTTGTGTTGCAGGCGGCCATCTCCCCTGTGCGCTTCAGCACGCTGAAAGAGTTTTTTCCCTAAAAGAGCATTCACGGGTGCGTCTTTTTAAAGACGACGTTGCGTCTTGCTACAGACAATGCGTCACCCGTGCTTTTCTGGATGCGGTCGTTACCTGGCATCGGGTGATGGTCACGAACGCAGCCTCACGTGTCTGGGCATTAAGCATGCTGAGGTGGCGTTCGTGGATGAGTCATGTTCTCATTGCGGGAAGATGACCATCTCGGAGTTGCGGGCCAAGCTCTGTTACCTCAAAAGGGGCGGAGATCTGTTGCCTCTGCCTCGATCTAGTTCTCGTCATGGCGGCAGTCAGGCGAGGGCTACTTCAGGCAGTAGCACGTGCGGTCTGAGGGTAACAGTGGTGGCAAACCCCTCCAAGGAACCAACCCTCAGGGGACCATCGTTCCTCTTGCACTCCGCAACCAGTTCAGCTGCCAAAGGAACGTGTTGGGCCCTCTACAAGGAGTGTACCCGCAGTATCCTTGGCACTCCTCCCGACGTCCGGATGTCGATCGCTGCATCGGAGGGTGAGCCGGAGCTTTCTGGAGAAGAAGATTCGGCTGCGCTGTTGCCCTCCATGACTGTAGCAATGCCTGAATCGGATCCGGAAATGACGGCTATGCTTTCCCGGGCCGCCGTGAGGGTAGGGCTTGAGTGGAGACCTCCACTGTGTCCCGAGCCCTCATGGTTGGACGATTGGTTCTTCAGGGTGGTCCGCGCCCCGGTGCCATTCTTCCCGGAGGTGAATGAGGGGGCTTACCAGATCGTGGAAGGCAACTTTATCTGCCGGAAACTGACCTGCTAACTCCTCCTTCCTCACCACTCTCGACGGTGGTGCAGCTAGGGGGTATACGGGGTTCCCCCCGGTGGAGAGGTCGGTTGCGATGCAGTTGTATCTTAGTACCGCCTCCACCCAGCAGGGCAAACCATGCCTCCGCTCCCGGGTCTGTAGGTACTCGTCTGGTCTGTCCGGCGATGCTTATGTGGCCTGTGAAGAAGCTGCCTCCACCTTACACGCTACGGCGTTACTGCAGGTTCTTCAGGCTAAAGCACTGAGGGACCTGCACGAGGGTGGTCACGATCCGGAAGTTCTGAAAGAGCTCCGAACCGCGACTGACCTCGCACTCTGCGCGACGAAGGTCACTGCGAGTTCTCTGGGTCGTGCGATGTCCACACTTGTGGTCCAGGAGCGTCACCTCTGGCTGTGTCTGGTCGACATGAGGGAAGCTGACAAGTTCGGTTTCTCAAGGTCCCTGTGTCTCAGACCAGACTCTTCGACGACGCAGTCGAGAACATGGCCCAGCAGTTCTCGGCTGCACAGGAGCAGACT